TTGAGCAGATCTATGGATACCATGGTTAGCACACCGCGACAGTCCCTGCCGAACAAAAAGTCTGCACAGCCCGACAATGCGTTGATACGCATGCTCCGTGAATGCTTGCTGGAAGCAACTAGATCTTGAACTGCCCGGGTCCCTAAAATTTCGGAAAATTTAGAGGCTTGGGTCCTGCAAAAAAAATGCCAGGTCCGCGACTGAGCCGACTTCACTTCTGCTGAGGCTCGCATTCTACGGGTTCGATTTTACAGAACGAAGTTATACAGTGATAGCAGCGTGCGAGCCTTCAGCTTCAGAATTTTGCAGCGAATTCGCTCAGCTACAATATGCGTCCGTTTGGCTCTACGAGTGTGCACGAAATCTATCGCGGCTCTTCGTTGCAATACGGTGCTGACTACACAACGGTTCGGAGCGTCATGGGCAAGCTTGGCGCCTTCACCATGAACAAGACAGGACGCGCAAGCGCCAAGGCCGCGCCCAAGCCGCTCATCGTTCCCAATGCTGGCGCGCTGCAACCCAAAGCAGCTCCCGCGGGCTCTTCGGAACCGCGAGAACAGTTGGCTATCATCCAGTGGACACGGGTTGCGCACAAGGCTGGCGAGTCCTTCGGGGACGAGCCCCTCTACAGAAGCACGATGGCAAGCCCACCGTCTCCAGGCAGATGATCCGCCATTGCGGACACTACCTGACCGTCCTCCAAGAATCCGACCAAAACATCCCAGGGAGCATTGCAGAGCTTCGTGACCATGCGGGCATCGCGGCGGTGGCACGGTGCAATGGCGTGCTGCGTGGTACGTGGAAGGAACGCCTCACGCGCTTCAAAATGCCTTGCGTCTCATCCTCGGCTTCATCCATCATCGCTGGACTGCCACGATACCTGGGGAACTTGGTTTCCCTGGGAGTTTGAACATCGAGCTTGATGTCGACCCCGATCTGGTGTGCCGGAACGAGCTTGCGGAGTTGCCTGCCCGACCCGTGCTGGTACGCAACTTGGCTCTGTCCCCTTGGTCCCCCGCGCCGCCCGCTGGCAACCAGATTCTGACGTTCCAGATCGAGTGCAACGAAAGCGATGGAGTGACGGGCGTACTCGCAGGGGCTACATGGCCGTTCCGCACAAGGAGCTCGAAGAGAATGGCGTCTACGGCGCGCGCGTCGAGCAGGATGCCTCCTATGTTCGCGTCCTGCCATCTATCGACATTGCTACACAGAGCGGTCGCGGCTGGATCCTGCAGAAGTTCCTCCACGAAATTCTTTGCGACACAGTACTCCACTTGGTGGTGGCTACGCCGCCCCTACCAGAAACGGCAGGGGCTGAGTTCTTGCAGATGCTGGTCGCCCAAAAGCAAGTCTACACCGAGAAGTGAGGCCGCTAACTCGCACGTGCATTGCAATAATGCTGCACTCTTCCTCAATGAGATTGCCTCTATCGCCACAAAATAGTTCATTGCAGTTTCAAAGTTTTGCATCCGCTTTGTTGCACGTGCACTGACTGGCATGTTGTTCGTGCTTGCTGCGTACGCGCCTAGCCGGCCGTGCGTGGCTCTGCAGGCCTGCTAGCTGCTATAGCGCTTGCCTGATACTTGTCACTTGCTCCAAAACGCTCTCATGTCGAACCGCTTCGTGCTTCCGGGTTTTGCAACTTTCTGGGTGCTTCAAGCCAGTTTCGGAGGAGCTGCACCGGCTCGACTGAAACAGCTGAGTTCGACGCGCTCTTGGCACAGATCGCGACATACCCCGCTCCGGCGCGCCAGCAAGTCCAGGAGTGCTTTAACCGCATCGTCTCCCAGGAGTGCGTGTTGCGCCTCGCGGAGGTGCGCAACTTCTTGCGCGCACATGCGATTTTCGTGTCCAGTGATCACGTCCAGAATGCTCCTGCTATCTATGCCGCCATGCCCGACCTGCCAGCTCCGAGCGAGGTCGCCTCCCAGCTCATGCATGTGCTCTTACGTGATGTCCACCTGGCGACGCAACATACAGCCATCGACATTGAGGAGGATCCCCCTTGCTTCGACGACCTACGGAGTGTCCTCTTCGCTTGCTTGAACTTCCTGCCACATGCCGCAGATGAGGCCGAGACGCAAGCTGCCACTTCCCCCGACTTCCAAGACTGTGGCGCGGACGTGCCGGTTGCCGATGCTCAGGACATATCGAATGGCAGCAGCGCCAGTCACAGACGTCGCCGCATGCGTGCGGCATTCTGTGAGTGAATGCCGCTTGGGTGCAATTAACTGGATGTCCTAGCCGGTACTTCATTTTTCGCGACTTGACTACTGCATAAATCCTAGAGTTCCCATGCATGTGCATGCACATCGAGCGTCACTTATGCCATCCTGCGCGCTGACTGAGGTGGCTTCTGAAGGTTTGGGCGCGCTGACGAATTTTAGTAGCGACCGTCCGTGCCACGTTTTTTGAAATCTGCCTTTACGAGATTGCTGCATCTGAATTGACTTCAGCTAGACTAGACAATTTACTGCATTGTCTCCGCGTGGCTGCAGGTCGACTCGACTCGGCTGCGGCTGGCTGCTCAGCAGCCACGTCCGCTGTTAGCCTTTGGCGCAGGTACCAGACCCTCAAATCGTCTGTGCTGTTAGCACGGAGGCGTGCCAGCCACTCAGCCTGCCAGAGCTTCGCTCAGCGTCTGGCCCAGGCAGAATTACATCCGTCTAAAGCATGGAATTTTCAGCAAGTCGTCACAGAACTCGAGCAACTACCCAGATGTGTCAGCTTCTTGTTCCACATCACATAGAAAATGTCGTCATGCGCCGTCGACGCGAGTGCTGCTGGCCAGATGAGTGCAATAAATTTGATGATGTAGTTGATGTAGATGCCGACGCCCTTGATCCGCAAACGACACCTCTTGAAGCAGCCAAGCGAATCCTTAGCTGTTAGCGAGTTCCTTAGCTGCAGCTTCGGCGTAGCCAAGCAGCATGACTGGGCCCTAAGGCCGCCTGAAAGGCAAAATTAAACATGCACAACGAAAAGCAGCGTGAAAGACCGCAAAAGACATTAGCTAGTGACACTCGCCCTGGGGGGTTGAGACCCATGTCTGTGTACCCAGAGCTTCGCAATGGTTTCAGCGATATGATTGCCGGGTTCTTTCCCCGACCCCAGTGCGACCCAGCCCAGCCTTTTGGCGAGAGGGTTACTGGGAACGCTTCCTCCACTTGGGTTGTTCATGCAATGCCATGTAACGTGCGCCCAGCTTCCAACTAAGTTACCACAAAAAGGGCAAGCTCCCGTCTCCCCTTGCTTTCCCGCTGCATGAAGATGCATCGGAGAGAAGGCGGAAGCCAAACAGGCCGCACGGTAGTGAGGCCCAAGAGACAAGAGCTGACGAGTCTTCTTAAGATCAACCTCCAGAAAAGCCCGGCGAAGCCGTGGCCTGGAGTAATTCCTCAGCAGCTCCTCAGTTTCATGCCTACCACTGTCGATGTATTCCTCAAACCAGCCGCGTCGGGCCTGAGAACGTATCACATGCAACTGCAGATCCTGCGGCTGCCTACTTCCATCCCTGAGATCCAAGGATTGCTCTGTAACAGGCACCTCGCGATACCACGGACTAGGCACCCGCCAGAGCCAAGGTTCTTGCTCGGTAAAACCAAGCTTCTTGAGGCCGCGGCGTATGAGGCCCACAGCACTGTGAGCGGCATTATGCCACTGGTTCTGGAGGCCAAGGCCCCGGTCTGTCCTGAGCCTTTTCCAAGCCTGAGACAGCACGATTGAGTTAAGCAGCACGGCCCCGCCGTACAACAGTTTCCTCAGCGCCCGGGCAGCGAAGTGCCCTGACCGAAAACTTCTGGAAAGCAAAGAAAACAACTTCTCACAGCTGTGCTGGGTCGGGAACCGTCCTACCCACCCAAAAGCGGCCTTGTTGACAACGAAGGCTCTGTGCGCAAGGATCATACGATCCCAGGGCATACCTGTAGTAGAAAGCAGCGCAGCTTGCCGCTCAGCGGCAGACAACCTGGTCTGCTCAACTTCACCGTACTTCCGACGCTCGCTCACCGAGTGGGCGCCTAAGAAACGAATATCAGACTTGATCCAGTCCTGGTGGCCATTAAGGCAAAGGATTTGCTTAAAGACTTTGTGACGGGCACAGACTTGGATTTTATCCGGGGCCTCCTTGAGGCCCATCACCCGAGACCAGGCGCCCCATCGCTGAATGCGATTAGAAACACCCTCCCACGAAGTGGTGTGCCAGCTCCTGTCGTCCATATAAGACGACAAGACCGCGTGCCTGTCCGTCATGGTACTTTCAACATGGCGAACGCCAGAACTAACCCATAAGGAAAGGCAGAAGGGTGCCAGCGGGCACCCTTGCGGCGTCGCGGAGCTGGCAAGCAACTGTGTTTGACGCGTGTGCCCTGCCCAGGACACCCATCGGGCCTGATTACTCCAGGCTTCTAAAACTAACTTAGCCAGGGGCTCTGGCAAGCCAAGCTGCCGAAACGCAGCAGCTGCAATAAATTTGCGCGATGGGCGCTATTGCCTTCGACATCACAGATTGAATGAAGGACAAGCGAATCGAGCAGCAGACCCAGCGCCAGCAGTCCCACGCCAGCGGCGCTTGCCTAGAGCACAGCCGGCGATGTTGGCGTGCTTGGACATCGACGACTGGGATGACGCCGCAACGGCTACCTTGCATCTCGGCGCCATGGATGTTCGCTGCGAGTTATGCGGGTCTTGGAACTTCGTTGCCGAGCGTCCAAGTATCTGCTGCCGCAATGGCAAATGTTGCCATCTGCCTGACTTGCCGGATGCTCCGGAGCTCCTGCAGCGCTTGCTCTTGGGACGCGACCGCCGCTCCCGGCGGTTCCGCATGTGCCTCCAGCGCTACAACGCCGCGTTGTCGTTCGTTTCCTTCGGCGCCAAGATACAAACTTTGGTAGGCAATCCGGGCAATCCCGCGCCGCCCGTCTGCGTGGTCCATGGAGCTGTTTATCATCATTCCCACCCGCTCTTTGCACAGGAAGATGCCGCGGCCAAGCACGCGAAGCTGTACTTGTTCGATAGTGCACGAGCTACCCGCGTACGTGCAGACCGGGACGAGTTCCTCGACGCAACGCTGCTCTCCGAGCTGGTGGCGATGCTGGAAGCATGCGCCAATCCATATATTCGAGCCTATCGACGAATGGGAGAACTCGCTCAGGACACAGTGTTTGGGGTCAGATTGCACATGTACGGCGTAAGCTCGCACTTCCGTGACATGCCTGCCGCTTGCGCTTCTTTTGCTCAGGAGATCGGGGACGGCGTGGCCTGGCCGCAAGTTGCTTCCCAGCGCAAGCCGTAGTCGTGCTTTTGACCACATTTCGGATGTTTAGGTGCCCGAATTCCAGCTTGGCTTCGCAGCTGCCACGGACAGCGATCTGCGCCGTTATAATGCCCCGCAGGGAGATGAACTGGCCGTCATCTTCGAGTCGCAGGATGGTGCTCCGGCCGGACCTCGCGATTTAGTGGTCTGGCCGAGGGGCCCTACTACGCCCATTTATCGTGTTTCGGAACGGAATGAACATGTCGATCCCATGACCTATCCCTTGATGTTCCCCGCTGGAACGCCGGGGTGGCATGAGAACTTGCAGCATAGTGACCAGTTCCGTACGGCGTGCTATAAGCGCCTTACTCCTGCCCAATTCTATTCCCATCGCCTCATGATACGCGATTGGAATCGTGGCGGTCGACTGGTGCCGCTTGAATCAGAAGCAACTTCGAGCAGAGACAGAAAATGGCTTGGAAGAATACGTGGCGGCGCAGGAGGCCGGCTCCTGACTGCTAGCAGATAATCTAGCATTTTGTTGTTTGGTGCCGTTGTTTGCTTTCGCCAGGCTGGCGAAGATGCCGCGCGCTGCGGTCGCCCGATGATACTGCCCGCATCATTTTCTGGGAGTCCGCGGAACATGTATAATCTGTGCCTGGATGCAATCGCCATGGTCAGAAAGATGGGACGTCCGGACTTCTTCATTATGTTCACCGCCAACCCTGCTTGGGATGAGATACGCGACAACTTGTGTCCGAACCAACGCGCCGCCGATCGGCCTGATCTGATTGCGCGTGTGTTCCACATCAAGTTGCAGTCCTTATTGGACGATCTAACCAAAGCCAGCGTGCTGGGCCGCGTTGTGTTGCTTGGACTTACGTAGTGGAATTTCAGAAACGCGGCTTGCCCCACGCCCACATTCTCCTCATCGTGCACTCAGACGACAGGCCGCGCACGCCCACTGACATCGATGCACGCACGTGCGCGGAGTTGCCGCAGAACGCAGATGGAAATCAAAGGGAACTCCAAGAGATTGTCGCCCGATGCATGCTGCATGGCCCCTGCGGGGCCCGGAACCCAGCCGCGCCTTGCATGCAAGCCGACGGTTGCAAAGCGCATTACCCTAAGGAATTTCGAGATGTGACGTGCGTGCTGGCGGACACGTACCCACTATACAGGCGCCGAGATACTGGCGCGGAGGTGGTCAAAAGCAACTGCATCATGAACAATCGCGATGTTGTGCCGTATTGTCCCTATCTGACCAAGAAATATGATGCTCACATTAACGTGGAAGTGGTTTCCAGCATCCGCTTGGTGAAGTACATGTACAAGTATGTTTACAAGGGACACGACCGAGCCAACGTAGATGTAGCCGATGCTGCCGATGAAATCAAAGCTCATATCGATGCCCCAAGGCCTTTGATGCTGGAGCACACCGAGCGCGCGAGTTGCGTGCGGAACGAAATTATGACCCCAGTCACCAGGATGCGAAGCTGCTCGCATGGCGACTTTGATGCAGGACTATCCCGAGCAATTCGATGCGTATCAAGAATTGGTACGTGTGTTCGACAGCCGCGAACCTGCTGTCTACTTCGTGGATGGCCCCGGTGGTTCGGGGAAATCCTTCCTCTTTGAGGCTTTCTTGCATTATGTTCGAGGACGTGGTGAGATTGCCGCGGCGTGCGCTTGGTCCGGCTTGGCCGCCACTTTGCTTCCGGGCGGGCGTACGTGCCACGCACGTTTTGGCTTCCCGGTGCCGATGCCTCGGGAAGATGTACCGTGGTCAGTTACGGCGGCCACGGGCCGCGGGCAGGTCCTGATACAATGTCGCGCGGTCGTCTGGGACGAGGTTGGCACGGCTTCCGCTGCTGCTCTTGACGCTGCAGACACGTGCATGAGGGATTTGAGACAATGTGACGAGCCGTTCGGAGGGGCATTGGTGCTTCTCGGAGG